AGTTAAGAGGCACAAAATCTTGTTACCAGCTGCCTGATCTTCAGGCAGCTGGTAACAAGATTTATGTTGTAGGGTTGCCAATAACTGTGAGAGTTGCTTCATATTCCAGTGTATTTAAATCATTACATTGTTTTTCTTGAGTAATATATCTTAAAACACTGAATTTCTTGGAAAAATTAAATTACAGGGAAGTTAAAATATCATCAGCCCAATTTGCAGAGAACATGCTGTTCACACTGCCAGTAATCCACAGCGTATGCATAATTAAATATTTGCTCCTGCTGAGACACAAACTTATATAATATGAACACTGCTCAGACATTCAGTCCAGTGGAGCAGCTGTATTATGGACAGAAGAGGAGGAAATGTAACTAGCCTTGGTTGCACTATGACTGTGATGTTTTACACATTAATAGCAAGTTTTGCTTTTTTTTTTTTAGCAACTTCTTTTTCTTTTTTTCTTTTTAAATTTATAAGATGCTTCTTAAAATGTGACTATGGACCAAAAACTGTAACCACTTTTAGTATCTTTATGTGTTTGCCACTGTTTGGATAAAGGGTTTAATTCCTATATATTTCATTAGAGTCTGAAACCAGCTTCAAATGTTTCTGCATATATATTTTATGTTAAACAAATATGAGGTATCTAAAATTTTAATTAGTTTGAATCAGGATAAGTTTTCTCAGATTAAAGTTTTTGCCTCATTTTATGCTATTTTTGGTGAGGCAAGTGTTGACAAAGTGTCACAAGGCGAAGAATATGCTTTATCAGTGCAATTTGAGGATTTCAAGTTGAGTCAATATATGCATTTAAAGAGTTTAGTGTGATACTAAAGAGATTGCAAGGGCTCCACAGCAAAGTAACAGTGTGCTGCAAAACAACCTCTGTAGAGCTCCCATTTTATAATATGGCGATCACAGTGAATAGAAATTCCTGAAAGAAGAAATGCTGACATATAATCCTGGAGTCCTTTATGTATCGCTAGTATTTTTCTGACTTAACAGAATGACATATTTCCACCATGGAGTTTACTGGAAGCATTGTAAAATAAATTCTCTTTGAAATTATTGGGCAGCTGTTAAGTTATTTGAATGATCCAAACATGGCTTCAAATCTGGCTGATACTGGCTGGTATAGGGGTGTCCAGATACAACTTTTTCATTTGTGATAACAGATACAGAGAACATCTGGTATGAGAAGAACAACTAATTAATGTCTCATTTAATAAGGAGTTACATAAGCTTTTAAAAAAGCAGGCAGAAGCAAAGTGTCGGACTGATTTCCAATATAAAAATCGGATCGGGACAATTATAGCCTCATAAATAATTTTTTTGATAGATGCTGAAAAAATACAGATGTGTTTTCTTAAAAATACCCATGAAAAAAAAAAGTTTTACATTCTGCATAAAGATAAACATGAGTAATTATGCAGTGGAAGTACTTAATTTTTTTTTCTTCCTTCCAGTGAAATCAAGGCCATCATGAATCTGTTTGGGAGAGATGCAATGAACACAAAGAAGAAGGGGAAAGAAATACAGTACGAGGACCCTCCAGATGGAGGCTGGGGCTGGATGGTGGTTCTCCACTGCTTCCTGGTATGTTAGCCCAGCCTTATTATGACCCATTTCCTTTCTTTTAAATTATTATTTTTAAACATATCTATAGCCCCATTTACACTACCCTTTTGAAACCGTGCTGAGATCGGTCCGAGCACGGTTACCGAGACGACTGTTGAGTGTTAATGGCACTCAGTGATGATTCTGCTTAGCAGTGTAATGAACCTCAACATCAGTCTTTGTTTCCTGCGTCTGTAAGCCCTGATTAGACTATTGTTTGTGGTATCCACTTCCCAAAAGCAAACTCTGTCAAGTAAATTCACCAAAGGCTGCCTTCTTCGCCTGACTCTCCGCAAACTTCCTGAATGTTACGGGCGCCACCATGTTGATTTGCTTGATTCCCACTAGAGAGCAGTGGTACCGTAGACTACCACTAGGAGGTGAGGAACCGTGCTAGCGTGGTGTGTAAATGGTCGTAAGGAACCGACCTCGGCACTGTTGACTGATCCAAGCTCGGAATGGATCGGTTTTCAGAAAGTAGTGTAAATTGGGCTCATGTATCTAAAAGGAGTACAAAAACCTAAGACAGCTCAATGTTTCCCTCAAGAGACGGTTGCAAGAAACCAACATAAGTATTAGAATTGTGTATGCTGATTATTGCCAAACCTCTCCCGCTAGTTTGCAAAAATGTAATATGGGGAGGTGTATCAACTTAAATGCCTTCTTTTGACATTTTTCTTCCCCCACTTTTCTTACTTAATGGCACATGGAGCTTCCTCTGTATTAAAACATTTGATTTATAAATATATGCTAAAGTGAGATGTTTATTTGATGGCTTTTGTAGCATGAAATTTATTGAGGATGGACTACAATCATTTAAACATGATTTATTAAACTTTCTTTGTCTGTATTTGCAGGTAAATGTCCTTGTGATGGGAACGCTAAAAAGTTTTGGGATCTTCTTTGTGGCCTTCCAAGATGAGTTTGGAGGCTCAGCAGAGAGCATCAGCTGGATAGGTTCCATCATGTCTAGTTTACGTCTGTCTGGAGGTTTGGATAACAAAACACAGTGTTTTTTTTTTTTTTTTATTACATCGCACTGAATAAGCTGCAATTGCAATGATTTGCCATTTTATAGCTAAAAGGGTTGAACCATGCCCAAAAAACCCACTTTATCTAAACATCTTTTGCTGCAGCACCCATCGCCTCTGTGGCCTGTGCTAAGCTGGGACCGAGGGTGACCTCAATCTCTGGGGCAGTGCTAGTTAGTGGAGGCTTCATCATAAGCATCTTTGCCAGCAGTGTGGTATACCTTTACATCAGCATGGGAGTTGTAGTTGGTGAGTTTAAATGGTTTTGAAAAAGGGTGCATTTATTTTTTTTGTCCCTTCTGTTAAAGAAAAAATGATTGATTTAGTCATTTCTTTCAAAATGATATATTTTTCTGACTAACCTATATTCTACCACCAGGAATGGGATTTGCACTACTATATCAATCATTTTCAGTGATAACAGCGCTGTACTTCAGAAAACGGCTGGCAACCGCATATGCCATTGGCCGATCTGGAATGGGTTTGACCTTCGCCTTGGCTCCATTCACCCAGCTGCTTCTGGACCAGTATGCTTGGCAAGGTAAGCAGTATAACTTTTTTATGAGCTCTTGCATCTCAGTGAATTTTATGCTGTGGGTTTTGTTTGCCGCTCTTAGGTGCAATGCTGATTCTCGGAGGCCTCATGCTGAACTTAGTAGCCTCTGGCATGCTTCTGAGACCCATCAATGTGAAGCCCCCTGTTTCAAACTCCACTTCTTTGCCCATCCAAAAGAGCCCGGCAATTTCCCTAAAGAGCTCCACGGAGAAGGAATATCCAAAAAGCTGCATGAGTAGATCTCCTGCGTTATCCAATGGTGTCTCCAAATCAGACTCTCTCTTATCAAACAGTGACGATGAAAAATTGAGAGGACAATGTGTTGATGGACAAGGGAGCCAGTCAATGAACCCTGAATTGACTAGACTAGTCCTCAGTAACACAAATGGTCACGACCCCCAACAGGACTCTGGTCAGTGTAAGCCTGCAACCCCAGACAGCCCAGCTGAGATGAATGGCAGCATGACTCGGCCTACCACCATTGGAGTTCCCTTACAGCCCAGTGTGCCTACAGAGGTTGCAGCCACAAAAGGCAAAGTGTTGGATTTCACCTTGCTGAAGGACCCATTCTTCTGCATCTACACTTGGTCCTTGGTGTTCAGTCAACTGGCCTACTTCATCCCGTACTTCCATCTCTCTGCCAGGGCCAGAAATCTGGGAATTGATGCCATGGATGCTTCCTTCATTATATCTGTAGCAGGTGAGGCTAACACTAGTAAATTAATTCTTCTTAATAATCATTCTCTTTTAAAAAGATATTCAATATTTAGAGAGAGAAAATATTTGCTTTTATTTTTAAAGAAAGTGGAAAAACTACAACTTTTAGCATATATTAAGGATAGCTTATCCTAGGACATGTGCCAAAAGAAAAAAACACTACCAGCATCTATTTTACCTTCATAAACTTTTCTTTTTTCACATTATGTGTTCCTTTGGTACAATAATAAAAGTGATAAGGTATGTAACAGAGCGGCCCCAGATAAAGATTACTTTTGCATTGACTTTCGCTAGCGTTGTCGAGTCTAACACCAGAAAAATCACTGAGGAACAATGATTTCACAAGACTGCAAATAGAAAACAACTGCTCTTTGTGAAAACCTTGCTTAGATTGTTAATCATGATGTTTACAAGGTAGAGAACTGTTGGAAAAGTATTTTGTCATGTTTGGTGGATGTAAAACTGTTATATTGTCCGGGTTAAATTAAGATGTGAAACATGCTGCAAAAGGCCCTCAGTAACGCAGAGAGTCTAAGTTACCAGTAGTGAACTTGAATCAATGAAAAATATTAGGACTGCAACGATTATTTTGCAAATCACTCAATCTGTCCATTATTTTACTTTATAATCGATCAATAATCGGATAGCTAAAGGTCCCTTAAAGAACATGTTTTACTAAATTAAAAACTAAAACTTGTGAAACTAAAACTTTTCCACTTAAGGAATTCTGGATTGATCCTAATGATAGACAAAAACCTAAATGCAAAATGTTAACATATTTATTTTACTATTTTGGTATAATTACTTCTCTAACTGGGTCACTCCGTCAGCTAAAGGCATGTTTTAGAGTCTCTATACTCCATTTAACGATTAAGCGATGACTGAATTAGCTGATTATTATTTCAACAATCAATCACGATTAATCCGATTAATTTCTTCAGCCCTAGAATATATCATAAGTCTTGTGTCTTTGTTAAACTAAAGATAGTGTGGGTGGTCCAGCAATGCCAGCAAGCACCTTAAGCATCCATCTCCAAAAGAGAACTAGGATTAGCTCCTTGGAATTAGCAAATGTAGAGTCCTGAATTTAAACCAACAGATTTATTATGTAAGGACCTGAAACAAGAAGTTCATGTGAGGAAAGCCACCATCACATAGAAATTAGCATAACTGATCACCATTTACTGATAGGTTTAAAACATATAAAAATTTGCTGTTATTTTAGTTGTTATCTCCTTTTGGAATGCTATTACAGCGTTTTTCATTAGTGGACCGATCTGTAAGCTTGATAAACAGTTTAAAGGGGTTTAAATGTGTAAATTGTTCCTGTTGCCCTTATGATTTAATGTGTATAGTATGTGTAGTATTAAAATCACATTTAAAAGAATGATGATAGACACAATTTGTGGCTTTTATATCATTTTTACTTTTATAAAACAAAGAGACACATGGAGTTGACAGATCTTATGTAACCTGCATATCTTTGTATTTGACTAATCATATGATTGTTGCGTTGACTGTGAGGAGGTAGGACCATGTCATTTTTCCAGTCTAGATCTTCTAAGTGATGCAAAAGAAGTGCTCAGTCAACTTTTAGGCATTAATTATTTGTGAGCTGCTCAGACTCTGCAGTCTTATGTAATGAATGCGCTTACATAAAAGCTGAACTTTGGTCCACTGGCCAGGACGGGTGGCTTTAGCAGTATACAATTGATGAGGCCCCTCAATATGACTAGAAAACAGCATTAACATTTGACCACCAAACACATGACATGTAATTCTATTACTGCCTCGTCGGGCAGTGTGAATAAGTGATAGCTGTTGTGTATTTAAGCACTTAGGGTTATTGCTTTATCTAAATTATAAGAGGATTTGGACACAGTTTCATTTCCATTTTACATATTAAAGTTTTTGCCTTGGTGTGGATGGATGGGTCTAATAGACAGCTCTTTTTAGGTGGTGTTGATTTGTTTTAGTCACTTCAACCTTTGGCCCCAAAGTGCTTCAGACTTAGCACAATAGATTTAGGGTTTAACCAGATATAAAATAACATGTTCATGTTGTATGGAGAATTGTAAAACCATTAAATAAACATAAGAAGTAGAAGGCAAAAAGCAGCATTTCTTTATCAGCATTTGTCAAATAGCACAAGCCAGCAGAAAAACAGAAAGTTGATGGAAATAGGAATCTTAAACCAATGCACAACACTAACGGATTAAGAGAAAGATTCAGGTCATACACCTCCTTTTTAGAAAATTGCACAAGCAATAGTAAAAATAACCAACGAGGAGCTTTTAAACAAGCTTGTCCTCAAAAGTCTGAAAGTGTCAATTCCTTATTAATTTAGTTCTGGGCTATTTTTGTACTTATTTTTCCTGCAGCTCGAGCAGTAAGTATTTTGTCATTGCTTGCTATATTAGTTATGTATTTCTAATACTGTTGGTTGCTTTTTTCTGCTGGAAAAGTAATAAGATGAAGAGCATATGTGAACATGTTTTATAAACCCAGTCAATGGGACTTAGGTCAGGACTTTGGTCTATTTCAACGCATCAATATTATTTGATCTAACCAGCTTATTGCATCTCTGGATTAAGCTTATTTTCATTTTAGTCCTGTCCTTAGTTAAAGCCTTCAACTTTGACCGTTTTCCTTTTCCTGTGACAGAAAAGCCGTCCGGTGTCATGCTGTGGCCACCATGTGATATGTGCCGTTACCATTCTGCTGCAGTAATATTTCACTTGGGGTCCACAGAGTTCATGTTTTAATCTCATCTGACCCACACACTGGATTTTACATGTTTGTTGAGTCCACTTCATGGCATTTGTAAAACTTTAAACTGCATTGTTTTTATTCAACAAGAAGCTTAATCTTGCCACTACTCCATAAATACCAAAAATTGGAATGCATAATTATAGATTTCTCTCTAAATCTCTCCTACCCGAGCTGGCAAACACTGCGGCCCCTCCAGAGTTACCATTAGCTTCTTGGCTGCTTCAAGCATTGGATATTGTTTAATAACCTAAACCTTCTTTAAACACCTCTCCCCATGATCTTTTTGCTCCGTCCCCTGATCTTAATGATGCTGTCTGTGCTCAAATGTTTTTTTTAACAATATTGAGGTTAAATTATAAACAGGTTAACTCTATGTGCAAATAAGATGGTGATCGAAATGGGTGGCTCAAATTCTTATTTCCAGCACTTTACACAATTTTCTGCTACTCATGCATAGTTGTATGTTTTTGGCTGAAATGGAAAAAGTTCTGGGGGTATAAGTGGGTTTTTAAGCTTCTGGAATTCATTGCTCCCAGGTTTTCCAGCACGCAGCGGGACGGATGGATTTTTTTTCTTCTATTGCATTTTCTCTTGCTTTGTAATAAAGAGGTAAAAGAGACCGGGTGCAATGCACACCACAAAGCTTCAAACCCTCAGAACCCGTTGTTCTTCTTTTTGAACCCGGCTCTGTCATGGACTTGGCCAGGGAAAGAGAGGCCGCTGTCATCTGGGTCAGTGTGCTCGTCACCCCTTTCGAAACTGGAGCCGACTAGAGTCGCTAAGCAACGACTAACAGAGTAAAGTTGTTGGCGTGGTTACAAGAGGAGGTCCCAGTTTTGTCTGAGTCCAGTTCTGAAGTGGGTGATACTTTGCAGAGGCGTATTAATGAGGCTGTGCCTGCAGAAAGAGAGGCAACTAAAGCCAGCAGTGGTTTCAGAGAAGCTGGGAAAACCAACATGCCTTCTATAACCCTTCGCTTTAGTCTTGTTACAAAACGTCTCTGTTTAAAGAAACTTGATTGGCATTTCTTCTTGCCTCTCAACCCTTGTAAAAACCAATGATGAACAATTGTTTGTTAGGATCAGGCAGTTAATCTAGCAAAGAACCAACACTAACAATTTCTTAACTCGCTGATACAGTGGAGGGTAAAGGACAGAGCCAATGTCCCTAATGCACTTGACTGGAGGTGCTGCTACTTGGAGAGGCCAAATTTAAACAGCTTTGTGATGAGTTTGAACAGGAACAGCTGCAGGGCTAAACCAACCTGCTGAGGCTAAAATACACAAACAAACGCACATTTTGTCAGTGTCCAAGCAGTGGACACTCCAGGACATTTCTTGGATCGCAAAAGGAGGACACATAAACATTGCACAGCTGCCTCATGTCGTCGTCTTTAACCTCGGTGGAGGCTGAGGGTTTTGATCCTGTTAGGTAAAGGGTGCAGAGGTGTTCCTTTAAAGTCTTAGAAACCAGAGATATCCAATGATTCAGTGCACCGACACCACTGAGTTTCCACAAAAGAGTATCAGAAGTTACTCTAATATGCAGAGAACCAGCTTGTTTCATTGATCAGTGGCTCAGTGCTGCCTGCTTTTAGCTATTCCTGCAACAGTCAATAAACCACTGCAGATGCCGCATTGCCGATCACATTCCAGTTGACCTCAGCAGAGAAAAGTCCATATTCTGCTCTGTCATCATACTCAAGCAGAGCCAACAATCAGTCCAATCAGATGGTGTGAATAACTTCACGTTATTTATCACGAAGTCTGAGTCGTTTTTCCACATTCTTTTTCCTCTCACTCCCACTTAGATAAGAGATGACCCTTTGATATTATTAAAACTCTTTTTGTTTTCATCCATCCATCCATTTTCTGTCACTCTTATCCCAAGAGGGGTTTCTTTCTTTTTTGTTCTCTCCAAAAAAAAAGTAAACTTCTATAAAGCTTCTTTGAACATGTCTATGACTTACAATACAGAAACACAGTCAGGCTTCAGCCAATGCAGGTTTCTATCTAGCATTCAATAACTTTTTACAAAGGTTTTTTAGGCCTCACTGGAGATGCATGAGAAGTTTTTTTCTAGCCAAACAGATTTCCTGGTTTATTGGTTTTATGCCCTGCAATAACTTTTTTTGCTCTGAAAGAGCAGAAAAAAAGATGCTGACTACAGGAAAGACAAACTACCAACGTCTAAAGATGTCTGGATTACAGCAAATGTTTTTTTTTTTTTTTTACTTTTATCCAATTGAGTTCAAAAAAGTTGCCAGACAAAAGATGATAGTTCTTAACCTTTATATTTTTAATACATAAAATCAGTTTTAATCTTTTTTTCAGTGATCTACTGATGAAGGAAAATGAACCCAATAAAGGAGTGAAATAGTTAAATGATTGATGCCTAACTAGGTGTATCTTTTTTTGCCTTCTAAAATTCACCTTTTTTTTTATTAATTTGAGTTATTTGCCTTTGCCTCTGTTACAGGTATCACAGAGACCATTGCCCAGTTGGCGTCGGGTTGGGTGACAGACAGAAACCTGTTTCATAAATATCACTTCCACAAAGCCTACCTGATCCTCTGTGGCCTGGTCAATATGCTCTCCCCATTGGCCACCTCCTATATACTACTGATGGTGTATGCTGTCTTCTTTGCTATCTTCTGTGGGGGCTACATGGCTCTGCTGCTACCTGTTCTGGTAAGAAAAAAAGCAATGATTTTAATAGAAAAAGGGTCTACCATAAGTCTCAGCTTGCCTATCTGTACCTAAAACATTTAATCCAAAGATGGAAGTTTAGATGATAAAGTTGGACTTGATTCAGACTTACACCATTAAAGCAAAGACTTTAGACTTGGACCCACTCTCTAAAAACTCATCCTGATTTTGAGGTTTGGGAGAGGAGTCTTTAACCCACTGTATTTTGTTCAGCGGTGACAGTAAAGGCAGCTTTCAGGTTTGTCTGTTTTAAATTAATGCAGTCTCATGAAAGCCTACAGACTGCCGCAGTGACAGAAATGCTCTTCTTTTGCTGTTAAAGTGTTTTGAATGACATTCATGCGCTGTAACATATTGATGCATATTCTTCATAAAGTAGATTTTATTATTATAATTGTAATATAACACGAATATTTAATGTTTTTCCTATCATTCTTATTAAACTAACGAGTTTCCCTTACCGTTAACTTTGCAACAGTAGTCTTGCCCATCCTGTGAATTCACTACAAGCGTGTTGAGTCTGTTAGAAGTTTTGTGCATCAATAAATAGCTGCTGGAAAACCCGTCAGAAATCTTCCAGCTTATTGAGTCATGGGTATTCAGTAACTTTTGATGAATGTAATCCTCATATCTGAAAAGAAGGGTTATCAGATTATTGTTTTTTTTATTTGCCCTTGCTGCACCTTTAACGGCCTCAGCAAACCCAGAGTCTAAACAGTAACATATGACAGTCTGAATAACTGTATTTGTTTCAGACGTGGATGCGTGAATTTCTGAATAAGGCAAAGACTTCGGTCTTTAGTTCTGATGAATTTATAGTTTTAATGTTTATACATGTGATGGGAAGAACAGATAATGATCTAGATTGTGAAATGGTATTATGTCATGGTTAAGAAGGTAAAAAACTGAATTAACTGACCGTATTAATTCATAAGTCTGTATGCTTCTCATTCAGTTTAGCATAGTTAATGTTGACGAGTATCGTTCTATCAAAATGTGTTTTTCAGTTAATTAAAAGAAGAAAATTGAATATACCAGAAAAAGTTTATAAGGTTTATCTTGTCCAATATGTTGTCCTTTTATTACATGGCATTAAAAGATTATGTGTACTGTATCTGGGATCTTTTCCCAACAAAACAAGACCTAAGAGATTATTAGACAAGAGGTAATAAATGGAAGCTGGATATCCATGGTACAGTATGTATATTTTTGGCTTCATGTGGTATAATTGGGGATTAATAATAACCTTAGAGTATGATTCCACAGCTTGTTGTGGTAAAGAAGCCGCACATCAATCTGCTGAAAAGGCAGCCAGCTGACTGAGTGAGGATACATAGAGAACAATGTGCTTAGAGAGAAAGGCAGGGCAGCATACCCAGGGAAATAACTACACTACTGCTTTCTCCTGTTCATTTTCATCCCCTGAATAACTAGGTGGACTAACTAACTGTAACAACACACTGCATTTACACATAACCTAGAGGGATTCTGAGGTCATTTCTGCCGAATTCCACTAAACATAACCATAATCATCCAAACATAATTGTTGCTGGAATAAAAATCTGATGATAGAAATGATCTCTTCTGAAAAATGAATATCCTGATGCTGTGGTGCACTTTAAAGAGGAAACTATCCTCACCCATTGGACAGAATTGCCGTTTGTTACCACGGAAACCCAAGGTGTTGGCCATTCATTGTTAACCAAGAACTTGAGTTCTTAGAAAATTATCCTACCCGTTAAACATCAATAAAATACGACAAGTACTGATCTCCCTAATTACAGTTTAGTCACCTATGAACTAGAAGAAAAGGTAATTATTTCTTTTATTATTAGTAATAAAAGAAACATACTTTTGTTTAATTACACCCTGTCATAATACAAGGTTCTATCTCATTTGGAATTCAGAATTGCCTTATTTGTTTGTTAAATATGTTTGATCAGTTATGCGTTTATGTGATAGCATTACACAGTTTCTGCAGAGCTTTCAGCTGCACATCCAAGATGGAAATCTCCATTTCCACATCCCAAAGCTGCTATTTCGGGTTGAGATCTCTTCACAGTGGAGGCTTAGTGTTAATGGCTGATAGATTACCTATTACTTCTTAGAATAGTTTTTCCTTCTTTGTATTAGAATTTAAAAAATAATGTTTCTCAAATCTCAGGAACTGTGCACTGGACCGTTTAATTATCTGTCATTTTAAATTCTGTCTGAGAAATGTTTTAACGCTAGAAAGTTTTAAGTAAGTTTTATTTGAAATCGAATTATGTCACTGATGTGTGTGCTCTTCTGCGTTACAGGTCGATCTTGTTGGGTCAGAGAAACTCAATAACTCCATGGGTTTCTCCATGTTCTTTGTTGGCTTGGGTTGCCTCACTGGGCCTCCACTAGCAGGTGAGGAGATCAGTTCTTGGAAATCCTTTAAGAGTTATGCTTGTGCTGACCCTTTTTTGGCAAATGTACACAGACACATTCATGAGTTCTGCATGTGGACTGGATGACAGCCATCACTTTGCGTTTCTAATGTGATTCGCTGCACAAAGGGCCAAAGTGATGTTTGTCTACGATTCTGTGTGCGCTGAAGGCAGGAAGTACATGTTGGTACATGGCATGGAGGCATGAAGGCATCAATATGGTGCTTGACAAGTTGATAGCCTACCCTGTCTCCTATTTATTCCGCCCTGAATTCCTGTCTCTGTGTGAATATTCCTGTCTGTCTGCGTGCATACACTGTGAAAAGGAAAAAACCTTGAAGCACACAGGAGGGAAAAATGTACATTTAAAGACGTCTCTCTATACATGATAGAACATTTCAGTTTGCTCAGTGGAAAAACACATGAAAGGTTACTGGGTCAAATCCTCACACTAACATAACAGTTCTTCTAGGGCACTTTAGTTACTTTATTTAACTGATGGCAGCTTTCCTTTTGTAGTCTTAAAGAGCTGTTTCTAAATTGGGATCAGGTTTTTGTTACAGTATTTTAGTTACATCAGGTCAGAGTCCATTCAAACCACGTCTTCTCCAAGTCAGCTGAAAAAGATAACAGTGCTGCAGGTCATCTGTCTGACATCTAATATTCTGGTACCTCTTGGAAATGGAAAACTTATGCAGCATATGTCTTTTTGAGAGACATTCATACTCTCAGTTTATCTTGTTTTTTCTGTACGTTTTGGTACTTCTAGGAAATGCCCTAATTGGTAACACTTGGTACAAGTTAAACTGAGAGGGCCCTTTCATGCACTGGCTTGTCAAAGCTGTTATGCAATCCCCAAAAGAGGGTTGTAGATTGCATCAGTTGCAACGTGATGAATGGCCCCTTTAGGGTGGTACGTAAATATGGTTGGGATATTTTTACCTTCTGTTTCATTAGAGTGAGAAACATCAGCTGGCATTTTAGCTACAGGGGGGTATTATCTGAAATGTTGTCCGACTGGTTTTTATCTGATTAAATTCATGATCTCAGTCAAGTTTTATCTTTCTTTAGAATCTTTTAAAAATACCAGATAATGCACACACCATTGTAAGACTGTTATTTGAAAAAAAACAAGCTTTTGGACCAGTGGGTGTTCTGCACAGGTTCATACAAACACATTAATGAAAAGTCTGTCCGAGTGTGATTCATAAACTGCTCTAAGAAGTAAACAAACTGACATTACATAGATGAAAGAATATAAAACTTTTAGAAGCATATAAGGCTATCAGTTTTCGTTAATTCATTTCTAAATCATCTAAATGGGATTTGATTTAAAGGGTAAAATTCATAATTTTTTGAAAGGGATTTGCTGACAGCCTTTTTTCTTTGTTTAGTTTTTTCATATAATATATAACTTATGGAAACCCTGCTTTTTGTTTCTCAGGCAATAATAATATAACACAAGAACAATGATGATGAATTTGTAACACAAAAATATGCCCCTATTTGGTCAGGCCTCCTTTTGCATCAATTACTGGATTAATGTGGCGTAGGATGGAGATGATCAGCCTTGTTAACAATCCAGGAGATGGAAATATCTGTTTAGAGGTTTATGAAGCATAGACTCTATCCACTGTCCACTCCTTCAAAATCTAGTCTTAACTCTGCTATGGGATTTGGTACATAATATTCTTAAGGCTGCAGTTATATTTAATAAAATGCCTCTCGATGCATGCTAAAGAGGAAGGGAATTATCACAGGGATACGTTGCTCCATCTCTGTTTGGTTAAAACGGCTACATGCAAAGCAGACGGTTATAGGGAGCATAACTGTACTGTAACTCATTATTGAAAATTAGCAGGATTTGTTTGTTTCTGTGCCTAATTAGTATATCCATCCAGTTGCATTTTTCTGACTTGAAAGTTAGATATTGGGGCTGATGAGTTCAAGTTGGATGCAGTATTAGCCAAAGCACTTCATATCTAAGGAAGTGTTGCATTTTGGAGGTGGACCGCATTAAATAGAGGTTAACTAATCATAAGAGATAGACAACATCAGTCTGTTTATGATGAAATGATTAACAGCCACAGTAAAATTAGGGATGCCTGTTGTAGACTATCCAACAAGTAAGGACTGAATATGTCAGAAGATTACTAAAACCTTTTAGAGCAAAATGTTTCCCAATGTCAGAAAACTAGGTGTGGGGTGAAGGTCTGCGTCTGCCATCAGGACATTGACCCAAAGCACACATCTGACAGCTCAAAGATGTTTTATCTTTGTGGGGAACTAAAAAAATTTGGAAATACCTTTAGTCGTGTTGAATTTGCATGAACTAGGTTTTGGGCAGAGGAACTCTATCAGTTATGTGCAGAAGATGACTTAATGACCAGAAGCTCATTTTAAAAGTTGTCATCACTAGCAAATGTTCATAAGCCAGATGGCTTCAATAAATGGCTTTTGGATGACGTTTTTGATTTCATGCTCTTACTGAATCTAAATTATGAACAAAGGGGTTTCTGAAAATGTGTAAAAAATTTAAAGGGGTAACTAAAAACAGTAAAAGGTCAAATATGGTGGTTTCAAATGTAACTGTTCTGTCATGAATTTCTGAAGCAATGAAGAGGATTAAATCTGATTTTTTTTTCTCTGTTTACTCATTGAGGCACATTAATCCTAAAGCAAAATGTTCTTTTGCATCATTTTTATTTCATTTCACCTTATTTAACCAAGTAAAATAGTTTGAATCATTTGTTTTTGAAAAACATTGTGATAAAAAGTAGGCCGAAATCAAATAATTTCAGTTGCTTTGTTGCTTTACAACCTTTGAGCAATTATTTTTTTTAAAGCAACTAGTGATCATTCTAGCATCCTCCTCTAAAACTTTGAAATGAAGACTCACTGTTTGAAAGGCCATGCTGTCATCACCCTAGTCTTTAGCTCCCTCTGCAGATTCTGTCAGATTCAAGTTGAGATTAAGAAAAAAATCCACCAATTTTGAGACCATGTTGTTTTTTGTTTTTATAGGGTTTCTATATGACTACACACAGACGTATGACTGTTCTTTCTACCTGGCGGGCCTCTGCTACCTACTTTCCTCCCTCTCCTTGTTCATGGAGCCACTTGCTCAGCGCTGGAAGGCCAAGAAAAAGCTTTCTCAGAACCAGAGAGCAGAAAGCAGCTGTAAGATTAATGGCTGCTTCACCCCTGACAACCTGCAGAATGGCGCTGTGTAAGACTCCGGAAGCACAGACCTGTGTTGGCTGGACCCTGAACTCTCACCTGAAGCCAGGACCTGGACCATTACGTTCAGCAAACACCTGATACCAGCATCACAGTGACACAAGAACATACAATAGTCTGAATATTTGATTATACAGAACTTATAAAAAGCCAAAAGTCTTGTGTTCTGCAAAAGTTTTATTATCAGAGTCACAAACATCCCATCTGAAGGTAATCCAGCACACAAAGGAACAATAAATCCTACTTCCCGATGCACCAATAAACTAAACACTGCAGAGTGAGGAACCAAGCCTACATCATGACTCTAAGGATTGTTTTTCTTCCATCAATAGAAGCTCATATCCAGGAGGAGATGTGCTGCATCTGGTGTGTTAAGTAGCATTTATCTGTATGTAAAATCCCGTTCTCACTGACACGCACTTTGGGCCAAGGTATGGTTATGCTGCATGACTTCAAACTGCCAATGAGCCAAAATACTCAGCATCCCCTCCACTGTATCCTGCTCCTACTGTATGTCCCACTGATTTATTGTGCATGAAGCCAAATAAAAGCACATAGGAGGATAAATTCTAGGAGATCATTGTAGACAAATGCTAACATTTAATTTAAGCACAGGAGGATCTGTGCATATTTATGTGTTGAACAGTAATTCTCTACAGACTTTGTAGGCAAACCTTTTTTTCTGAATCCCCATTTAATGGAAGATTGTTTAAGTTTTTTCACTCTGTTACCAAACATTTTCTGCTCCTTTTTAACCAGATCACGCACATTTATTCTTCCCTCCACCGGCTTATATTTTTTGAAATTATATTTAAAGTCTAATGTTTAGGAAGGCAGAATATTTGTTTCATAAATTCAACCTGTTGTGCAGCTGGAGTTTCCCTTCAGAATCTCTGCCACTTTTCACACATAACTCCCACTTTATGCTTTTGTATAAAGTTATCACCCACGAACTCTTCACGTGTTCATAGATGCTGCAGCTGCTGCTCACTTTCATCCTCTATTTTTAAACCGACACTAAGTCTGTCTCAGCATAAAAAGGTCAGCAAGACCTCACACCTAAACGGGCTTTGATCCCGCAGTAGCTATTAAACTGGTTTTAACAGACACAGTAGTGTAATAAATAACACTTATGCAATACTTAGAGTGCATTCACACTGCGGTCGGAATTTAATTCACTTTAATCATTCACAGTTTAACTGTCAGCTTTGGGCTGTAAATGATAATTATGACCTTTGAGTCTTTTGCACATTAGCTATTTTAACTACTTTTACAGGGTGGTGGCAGCGCCTCAACGGATTTCATCATCTCAGTGTCTCTCATTGCTCATAGTAATAGATTTGAGTAAAATTTATTAAAATAAGAAAATAGAGAAATCTTAAATTTTTTTCAAATATTTGTTCTCTACAGTGCCTTGCAAAATGAAAAAAAATCTTTTTGGAACACAACAAGCAGAAACTTCCACATATTTCATAGAGTCTGATGTGATAGAAAAGCACCAAGTAGACCGTGACTGTGAAGTGGAAGATTACAAATCTAGACGTAAGGCACGTTTATTTTCATTTTGGAAATCATGGGTGTGTCTCTACCATCTTTGCACAAACAGAGAAGAAATTTTCCCTTTAACAAATCTCTAACAGGATCAGATTAGTAGTAAATATGTGAAACCCATATTTAGATCTCAGCCACCCTAACACATTTACAGTTCATGCTTTAGTCCAATAATTTCAGACACAATTGTTTCACTGTAGCCCTTTTAAATATCTCTGGGGTTTTTTTGTTTTGTTTTTTTGCTGCCTTTTAACTTTTTTCCCTCCCAGTTTGCTGTTTGGCATCTTATCATCCACTCTCCACTTTTTAATGCTACCAACAGTGTGTTGCACAGTAGTCTTTGAATGTATAGGAATTTTGACTCGAAGAGCTTCTCCTTAGATCCCAAAAAGTTACCTCACCTGAGGATCTCTACTGCTCATCTATTTTCTTCTTGCCTAAGCAGCCTGTTTCTATGCAAGCAAAACCAGGTTCAAAACTTTTTAGTCCTTCTAAAGTGGCAGATAATACTTTTCAATGATTAACAAAAAAGTGAACAGTGTTGTTTTATTTATAAAACAATAAAATATTGATCTTAGCAGGTTTTCAGGTATTTTCAGACAATGTATTGAAAGTACAAAACGAAATTGCACTGATTGTACAAGAAATACATTTTTTGTCATTCATTTTGTTTGTCATTAGAACACAAACCCTATGCTATTTAAACATTTGCCATAAATATTTTTACAATAGGCAAATGTGTCATGTCACTGTCAAAATGAAAAAGTTTTTGCTTTTTAAAAATCCACCACAGAAAAACATTATTTGCAGTACTCTAAATGTCTGGATGTTGAATTGTAGAGTTTTATGAGATGTAGAAGCTTGGAATGTCTTCATGATGCTGTTTGTTCAGCATTGCTCTAAAACCTCTGCGGCCTTTATAAAACAGCTCCATTTATACTTAAAGATACATACAGACTAACTAAACTGACCAATCAGATTACTTTTTATGGCTATCAGTAGCATTAGATTCTATTTAGGGAATGTTATAGTAAACAAGTGGACATAGGAACATTTATTCCAATTTCATTTATTTGTTAAAATATTAAAAATCATGTATCGGTTTTCATTCTCTTTACAGTTATGCACTACTTGGTGTTTCCTATCAAAAATAATCCAAGTCAAACATTCTAAAGATGCATCTGTTGCATGATCTAATATAGAAGCATTCAGCACCATGTTTGAACATCCTGTGCCTGCAAGCAGCTGCAAAAGAATGTGTCATACTTCAGTATCAGAGCCTCACATGTCACTTTTTGATTGCTACAACTATATTTTGTTGGCTACGAACTGAAAACATGATTGTTTTTGGCATGTCATTTTACTGCTGTGCACCTACAGATGAGAGGATCCTCACGCCTGGCTGATCTATGCAACTACACACTCGTTTACTGTCCTTTAAACAGAGGTACACACCTTTTTTTGCTGCAAATCCACCAGTTCTTTGGAGAACACACCTATGTGCTTTTCTGCAAGTTATGGTCACAGCTGAATTTAGAGATGGTGGAGTTAAATTAGTCTTCTCTCAAACTTATGTGATTTTTTTTTATCAGTCGTTTGTCTATAAATCTGTGACCAACAGAAGTGATTATGTGATCTTCCCCACTTGGCCTAACCGAAATGGGATTTTTTTTTTCTTTGTTGTTTTTCTGTCACCCAAACTTTTTAGAGTCGGCGGTTGCAAACTTACAGTGTCATTTTGTTTAAATATGAGAGTCTGTTGGTTCTTGAATCTTTTTTTATATATATATTTTGGTGGGTGGACGTGAAAGGGGTTGTGTTTTTAGTGAGTTCCTTGTTTTTTCACCATTTGCCTTACAGGGTAATGTATCTTTTACTAACTTTCCTGTAATTTCAGCCAAAGATCACCTTAGAAAACCTATTTACGACTTGAAGCTTACATTTGGACAAAAATAAAATGATATGGACTGTGACTATCATTTTAATTGGTCTGAACAGCTGATGTGTTTTCTCGTGCTGCCCTCTTGTGGAATAAGAAGGCTCCTGCTCCAAGAATGTTGCCTCAATTAGCACCAAATTATTCCCCCTCAACTCGCTTTCACAATACTGAGCAAGGCTCTTTGTATTGTTTCCAGGACGAGTCATGCACTAAGGCTCTTTTGGCTCACGAGTTGCTTTCACTCTCAGCTGTTTGGCTTTAGTGATTTGGGGCTAAAGTAGATTTTGTACCACAGAAGAAAAAAAAAAAAGAAAAAAACATTTGATGCTTTAATTGTATGTATATGGTACTGTTTTAGACATCTGGTCTTGAGAAGGCAATGCCTAAACCTCACCCAAGGGCTTTCCTTAAACATTTTATGTTTTTTTTGTTTTTGTTTTTTTTAAGTGAATGCATCACTGGAATAATCTGTTTCTATCATACCCTGGGTTTTAGATTTCTCTAGCAAATAGGCATAACCAATCATAGGTATTCTGTTTCAAGATTTAAGATTTTTTTTTAAACTTGTAACAGTGCTCATCTCATACATAATAAAATTTTTTGTGACCCAAACTGTTACTGTGTGATTTAGAAAACACGACACACGAGAGGAGAAAAATAATCACAAGTCATAAAGCAAATTAAGTATCAAATACTTTATTGGCAAAAACAAAATAAAGATCATTAAGATCAATATGCTTAATCTAAACTTTTTATACAGTATTTGTTTAAGGAAATACACTTAAAGAATCATCCATGTTTCATCTTCATTTTTAAGGTGAATTTCACTCATTTTTGAAGTGAAAGTAATACATTCCTTACACAAAGATGCACAGTATATTTCCAGCATTTATAAAAGTCAGTTAGCTGAGTATGCTTTGGAGATATGATTTAAATATAAAAATTCTTTATTTAAATAAAATATTTATTTAAATAGAAAAAATAATATACATATACATATATATATACATATACATATATATATACATATACATATATATATACATATATATATATATATATATATATATATATATATGTATATATGATTATTTTTTTCTTTTATTGTAAAAATGTTGGCCTACAAAACACAACCTATGCCTTGTAAACCGTTCCACACAACAGGAAAAATTGAGGCAATTACATTACAATTATATATCTAAATATCCTTTTATGGACTATTATGCATTTACTCCTTTGGGTTTCCATTAGCTGTAAAAATTAATAATAATGACATTTTACATAAGATATCTCTTAAGATGTAGTACCCTGTGAGGAATGATCTATAAGCTTAATCTTATGATTGGAACTGATTTAGAAAACTAAATTAGCATTTCATTACCTGTATGAAGGTTACTTACAGCGAATGCACTCCAAGGGTTGACCGGTGTCTTGGAAACAGAAATGGAGTCTGGTGGGTATCTGCACAGATATCAAAAAAAATACTGTGATTAAGCAGTGTTAAATCAATCATAACCCACAGTCTGTTTCTCAGATAAGCCTACCTGTGCCTGTGTTTAAACAGTGTGAAAATATTAAATCAGACTGCTCAATTATGAATGTTTTTAGAGCTAATATAATCAAATATGCTTTATGAGTAGTAGATAACATGGTTTCAATGTTATATCCAAAGATACTGTCTGATTCAGGGATTAAAATGTTAAGAGAACTTAAAAGACCAGTTTCATAAATTAAGACCTTCAACTTCCAGTTTCTATTTAACTATTGCTACGGCTACTAGCCGTGGGTCTGCCCAGTGGGTAGCAATGGTGCCAGGTTGCGGGTTCGATTCCCAGCCCGGGGTATTTCTGCATGGAGTTTGCATGTTTTCCCTGAGTATGTGTGGTTACTCCGGCTTTCTCCCACAGTCCAAAAACATGTCAGTTAGGTTAATTGGCTTCTCTAAATTCTCCTTAGGTGTGAGTGTGTGCATGAATGGTTGTTTGTCCTGTTTGTCTCTGTGTTGCCCTGCGATGGACTGGCGACCTGTCCAGGATGTACCCCACCTCTCACCCGAAAGCAGCTGGAGATAGGCACCAGCACCCCTTGTGACCCGCTTGGGATAAAGAGTGTCAGAAAATGGATGGCTACAGGCTACTTACTCACACTTCATTAAAAACCTAATACAATCTTCTTAGACTCTGCGGAGGAGACACTAAAAAGGTCAAAAATTCTAAATGTAAAGAATTACATTTAGATTTTTTATTGCTTTAGTTTTACTGGACATTAAACTGAAAAAAGAAAAAAAAAAGAAGGGCATAACTTCATAATTGAGATTATTCAATTTAAGGTAATAAAAAACTACAGGAACCCTTTTCTAATCCCAGAATAAATGCTGATAATAACAGTTGATCAAATTTGCTAGGTCAATTGAAAATGATAACCCAAAATGGTACAACTCAATAGTAAGTTACACATGTTATTTCTTTAATTAAATTAATGTTAGCATATGATAAAATTTCTTTCCCTATAATCTTTTTTCAATATTTAAGGACTGTATTTAAATTCAGATAATAGACATTTAATTTAAGAATTTATTTTATATAAGCTTTATTGTGGCGTCCTGAAAGTGGGAACATTGCTGCCTATATGCAGCAGTTCACTGGTTGAGGTTGAAGATCTCTTGGATTATTTTTATTTTATCACACTTTATGGTGACGTAACTGATTTTACTAAATATCTAATCCCATTGTGGTGCAGCAGCTTAAAGGTAAAATGACTACCTTAAATTTAAATCTTAAAACAATAATATGAGCTGGTATAAGATGTTAACTGACACTAAATAGTAAACACTATATTTAAGCAAAACATAAAGAAAATCCCTCTGTAATATGGAGAGGGATTTATTTTTCTTTTTTACTTTTTTCACCTTCTCAACGGTGGTTTGATGACCAAAAAACTCTAAAAAGCTACATTAGAAATAGCATCCTAAAAAGATAAACACACACTAACCCTTCATCCTAATTTAAAGGAATATATGTAATAAACAAAATAATATTTGTCTTGAACATTGAAACTTTTTTTCTATGGGGCCTGAAGCAAAAACCCAGGAGAGACTGAGTTTTGTGACTTAGATAAAATCATACAGGGATTAACTTTATATTTTATATCTTACATGCTAATGGAAAGGGGAGGAAATTCGCTGTTTTGCCAATTCTCGCATATTAATCTTAACCTAATATTGATGTTTATTATTGTTTCCCTTTTTTATAAATAGACTTGTGGCTATAGACTGCGTCAACAGAATGAACTAAATGTGCAGTATTTGGTAGGCATAATGTAAAGCTCATTTAATTCAGATCATTTATTAAGTTCCTTAAAAAGTGGCAAAAAATGTGGAAAAAGCAAGGGACCTTAATAATTATGCAAAAATAAATTAATAAATCTGATTATTAAATGTTAGAGGGGCAATTTAAGTATATATATATATATTTTATAGTGATTTATTGACCTTAAAGACATTTGACCCTTTTTCAACTTGGACTCAGTTTTATACTCCTTTTAAGGTTCTGTTCCATGTTATGAAAGTTTAATTTATTATATTGAATATTAAGCAGCTGGTCTGTAAAGGGAAGACATTGTTCACTGATAGAAATAAGAATGTATGATCTGTCTTGAAAATGTGGTGCTATACTTTATACTCACCCCTGCTGCCTAAGCCACCGATACAGCCATGGCAGGCAGCCCTGTTTCTCACTCACCCTGGTGCTGTTTCTGTACAGCTACCACAGATATACCTGCTCTGTCCTGGCTGTCAGCTGATGGACGGGAGGAGAGGAAAAGCAGGTGCTCCTTGATCCTCATGATGCCAATGTTTCTCAAGGTCCTCGGCACAGATTACTGAACATGTTTTTACTCTAACTCATCTAAAATAGATGGCAGCTGAGTGTGTAAAGAGGCCTTAACATTTACACAGATTTGGGGGGAAGAAACAGTGGTCCTGGAGGAACGTCAGTGAGGAATATCCGCTGTGTGGGATCCTTCCAGCCGAGGCTTCATCTCCAGGTGATGAAGGGAACTGGTTCACATGGCACCTCAGAGAGGAGAGGCCAGCAATAGCATTCTTAGCTGACATCTGAGCCAATTGTCTTTCCTGATGGGTAAAATCTGAGTAAAACCAGGCAAAGTGTGTTAAAGACAAATCAGCCCAAATCTCTGCATGGAGACGGAGCGATTTGTAGTTGCTTTGCAAATTTCAGAGTTGTCACAATCTCAACAATTGAGTGTGTGAGAGAGCGATGAAATTCTCCCTCCTGTTCAGGACCAGAACCAATGCATGGGAAAGTGCTGCAAACAAGAGACCATCAATGTGATGCCATTCGCTCCAAAGCCACGCCTCCCAAACTGCATCTGCAAGCCGGATTCAAACAAGAGCAGACGGCGGCTCCTCCATCCTGTTCAGGTGTTTGCATGTCAGTAGGAACAGTTGTGAGGGGTAAGTTACAAATGGGGCAACTTCTGCTCCCAAAACTGGCCTTTAAACAAATAGGAATCCTCTTAGGAAACATGGGTCTCTCCTCTCTGGAGCTAAACAACTTGCAAATTGTCTCCCCTCTCATGAGCAGGAACAACATTTCAAGTGACAAACTCCTTGGAAACACAATAAGGCATTGATGCTTGTTTCGTCAATTCACTTCCATCGAAGAAACATTTTCCCTTCACATGAACAATTTATTGATAATCGGTCACATTAAGTGCCCAAACGCACTTGTAGTTACGTGAACAGCTTCGCATGGGCACTACGGATTTTCCTTTCCCCATGACATCAAAGCGTACATTGCTCTATTTTTCCACTTAAAACAGAAGTCATCACAGGTGCAGGATGGACTACACAACTTAAAAAGCTTCCTCATCAGCAAGGACTCACACATACCACGCTGCCCTTTTTTTTTTTTTTTCTCCTGCAGATCCGCAGCTCTGCGTCTTCCAGAGTCCCAGGTTTTGGGGTTGGTAGAGGGGGTTTTGTCCACGTGAACAAGCAGTATGTTTTCATCACATATGAACGAAAAAATTAACAATTGATTCAGAGTAAGTCCCTAACTGGATAATCAAATACAACATGTCAAAACAATAAAGTGGTAAAAACACCTAAGAAAAAAATATTGGCAGGCATGAGTTACTGTAAATTTTTACTTCTAACATTAAACTCCATGTGAAGTGGTAAACCACTGCTATAAAGCTAATTAATTACTTTTTTACCACTAGTTTATTGGGTTTGGTTTTCTATGAAGATTTTAGTTAGGAGATTCAAATAAAACAGGCCATCAACATCGCACTGTCCAACCTTTCAGTCTTTTTTTTTTTGTCTACAAGTACTTCAGTTTAAACACAACTGCAAAGTCAGATCCACTCTACAAAAAATAGCATAAACAAAAGGATAACGCTTTAAATAAAGAAAATATCAGTATTATTAATTAGTACAGCCATGTGGGCTGGTGTCTATTGCAAACAAAAAAAAAATTGCATGTTTATGATTATCATAAGAATTTAGTTTGATCTATCAGACACTTAAATGTATGGATAATACAGACAATTGGTAGTAATGTTAAAGAAGCTTTAAGTTCAAATTTTTTTCAAGCGATGTTAAGTGACTTTATTATCAGTAATGGCTCCTCTACCTGTATTCTAAAACATCACAACTTAAAAGACCCAGTGCTGTGAAAGGCTAACATTTTAGATTTTTCAAATTTAAAATGACTTAAACGTGGTATAATGTTACAGAAACAGATTACAGATAAGCTCAAAATTATTACAGGACAAATGATGGTTAAAATTAAGTAAATCTTTTTTTTCTCCAAAACGTTTCATATGAGTGAAGGAATAATCACTTTGGAAATGCCAAGCCAGGGTCCTGATAGAGAATCTGGGGGCGGAGCTACAGATTAGGGTAATGGCAAAGAGGCCCTTCAACCTTAAAGACTTGGAGTTCATTAGCAAAGAAAACTTGTCAAATATTTTTATTTTTTTTTTCTCTTTTGTGAGTTGCCAGTGTCATGTTCTATCAAAAATCTGATTTGAATAAAAATAATTTGGAGCTTAACTGTATATGTCAGGAGACCCATTAGGTCATCTATCGACCTTCAATATGAAATTGTTTTTTGGACCAGAGATGGAAAAAGATAATCAGTGGGCAGGCTGATCGAGCCAACATTATCCTCCAGCTCAGCCTCAGCACAGCAGCAGGGACAATGTTTGGCTGAGAATAAACTTTTTAAATGGTTTCCAGGGTATCATATCCATTTGCATATCATTAACTCTTACAATTAGTTCAATTTTTAAATCAGTTAAAGCGAGGGTCCATCTGACCTGTTAGCCTTTCACAGATTTGGGGACAATTTCTTGACCTTTCTAAAAACTCATTGCAATGAAGTCACAGGATTTCTATTTCCAAATATACTAAAGTTCAAGAACAACCCTTTGAAAATGTATGGACCAAACACTTTATAAACTGAAATGTATGACCTGTATCAAGAAATGTTTTAACCGTTGACCTTTACATCATATTTCCAACTTTGACCCTGGCAAAACATTTTGTCATTAAAACACACAGCACGCTTCTCCAGCAATTCAAAACCCTTTTAGACGTATGGGGCCACTTTAGTAGAACAAATATAAATATCTAAGGTAGTATATTTAAAGTGCTCAACTGGAGGAGAAGTGTGCAACTTTTCTAAACTTGCTCTGAAAATACTTTCCCTCCTCTTTGCATCCCGAGTTGAAAAAGTATTCCGCTCCGCTTCATTTCTATACTTGAAAAGTTAACAATTTTAAATTTCAACACATAACTTAACGCATTACTGTAAGTCATGCCCTGTTCACATAACCAGGGGACAGTTGCTGTAATAACACAGCCATTACAGGCTGATGACATCAAATAGAGCAGCCTAAAAACAAAGATGACCATTTGGATGTTTATATATATGTGTGATATTATTCTCTTTTTAATTGGTAGTTTAATTGTCATGGTGGGGGTATACTATAAAACCATTTAACATCTAACATTTATGTTGGATAAAGTAACCATTTTGACCTTTTGATGGACCAAAAAAAAAAAAAAAAATCTAAATATGATCTTAAGGCTCAGAAATGTAAATGGGATTTGTACGAATTTATATTTTGTAATATCCCCTTATTTTTAACATTTTCCAGAAGTCTGATAAAACAGCAGGTTTTTGATTGAGCTTAGGATCAAACACCCATTGAAATGTACTTAAATGACCTTTTAGTTTCATAGAAGGGCAAGGTTTGTCCTTTTTAGTGGATTATATGGCAACATTCAGACACTGGAGAAGCACACTACTGAACCCCAGGATGCAGAACACACAGCATGCAATAACTGCTGACATACAGCAAGGGTTGTTTTTTTTTGTTTTGTTTTTTCCTAAACTCCACTTCATTTTAGTGTATGGTCACTTCTTATGATGCGCCACGAACCACAATCATGACCAGATAGTCCTCTTTGCTTTTTGCCAGAACTTTGGCAGATGAATCCAAGAACTGCTGAGAGAAATCACAGGGAGGGAAAGCATGAAGGACCCCTGCGTTGTCTTTATCCCGGCTGCCCCCCACAGGAAGGCTGATGACTCCAGCTGCTTGTTTTTGGTTGAGGTAGGACACCAGGTTGCGGAGCGGCCGTTGGGTCGAAGCTGCAGAGTCGCTTGATGTATCCTCCATGGTCCCGGGAACGGCCAGAAGGATTGCGTAGCCACCAGGACCGGCCACCTTGATGCGCCGGGATACTTCGTCGAGCTTGGGCTGGTCCAGGCGGAGACGCTGGGTGATTTTCAGCTCGCTGACCTGCCTTCCTGTTGAGCTGTCGATCAGAAGGTCGCTGGCTACGCTGTGGTCACCCTCCAGCAGGTGCATGTTAGCTGGGAAGTTGCTGTTCTTCAGGAGGAGCATGCCTTGCCAGGCTAGACTGAGTTTAGTACCATCTGACTTGGACAGCGGACCTCCCTTGGAGCTGCTTTCAGAACGTTCTCTCTTGGCGGGGCCTTTACCCCCATCAACTGCTTTTCGCTTGCGTTCTCCAACAGCTACCCCAGGTCCTTTATCGGTAAGACTCTGGATTTTTAGCCTGCGTTCTGTCCCGCCTTTCTCCAGGCTGCTGTTGCGTTCCCTCACCGGAGAGGCCCTCTCACCTCGCATGGGGCGCTCTGAGTCACTGAAACGCCCGCCATCTCTGCTGCTGCCTCCAGGACTCCCCTCTGGGGATGATCGTCTCCTTCTAACTGTTCTTTCAGTGCTGTCGGGAGAGAGGTCCAGGTGGCGGCCCTCCTCCACAGCACGCCGTTTGCGTAGAGGTTCTCGTCCCTGCAGCTCTCGTTCCAGAGACCACGGCTCTCTCACTCTCCTGTCCCGTTCCAAATGTTCAAGAGGCTCAAAGGGTGAGGCTCTAATCCGTTCACGGATGGCTGGGTTGGGCCAGTCGCTCCCAGGGAATAGCTCTCTCTCCCTGAAATGAAGTGGTGGGGGAGTCCGGTCTCTGACCCGAAGAGGTTCGGGTGTGGCACGGTGAACAAATGATTCAGCCACCATGTCAAAAGGCGGTATAGGGAGAGGCTGCAGGAACTGCTGCGGGTAGCGATGCTCAGAGTCTGCAAAGTCCACCCTGAGCCGGCGCTCTGGTCCTCCCAGGGGGAAACCCCTCATGTGTGTCCAGGCTGCCTGTGCCGCATCTAAACTTTCATACTGAATGTAAGCCCAATTGTGCCCTTTCCTGTAGTCGATAGTCCTTATTGTTCCAAAACGATCAAACTCTCTGGCCAGGGCAGTTAGAGGCACCCAGGGTCCGAGTCCCCCCACCCACAAACGTGTGGTGGGCATGGGTTTGCCATAGCCTATTTTTATTGGATTGCGTCCCACCGTTTTGCCAGACATACTAAGTTTGGCCCGATGAGCCATGTCAAGGTTTTCAAATTTCAGAAATCCATAGGTGCTGGTTTGTCCTCTGATGGGTCTCTTTATGTCCACTTCTGTGATAACCCCAAACCTGTCAAAAGCCCTCCTCAGGTCCGCCTCTGTGACACTTATGTCCAAGTTGCCCAGAAACAACGTCCTGTTGGCTCTTTGATCATCTTCAGGAGAGATAAAATCCTCTTCTCTGAAACCTGCCCGTTCAGCAATGAAAGCAGGACGCGCCCTGGCCTCAAACAGAGCAAACTCCCGGTCCCGCTCCAGTTCTCTGGGTAAGGGGGGCGGCGGGGGAGGGGGCAGCTGTCCCAGAGCCAGCTGCTGCAGCCGGTAGTCTCTGTACCCGAGGCCGGTTGGCGACAGGGGCCTCGGTAGATGCCTGTGGCTCGGAGCCGCCACGTATAACTCCCTCTCCACTGGAGATCGGCTCCGTCTCCTGTTCACATAGACCGCCTCGATCTTCAGTGGCCGGTCGTACAGCACCAGTCGGCCTCTGGCGTGTTTAGCGGCCCTGGCGTCCTCCGGCTTTCTAAAATTCACAAACGCGATGCGTCCATCGCTGCAGCGGCTCATCTTGACGCTCACATCGCCGAATTTTTTGAATTCATGAAACAGTCCGTCCTCTATTTCCTCGTCGCTCAGCTGGGAGCCCAGGTCGCTGATTTTCAGTGTTTTGTACTCACTCTCGGCGCTGGGCGGCTGGACCCGCTGCTCCGCCCGGGAAGAGACGCCCCTCGGTGAAGCTAAATCCAGCGTCAGACTCAGACTGTGGTTTTTAGCCACAGCAGGCGGACAGCTGTGGTTATTTCCTGTCCGGCCGTGGCTATCAAACTCTCTGTCTCTTTTCTCGACGAGCAAACTTCTTCTCGTTGTGCCGCCGTCGCCTTTTGTTGAGCTATTTCCATTATTACTCCCGCTGGAAACGGAGAGAGCCCCCATTTTCTTACTGGTCGGATGACAGCCTCCCCTGTCTCGGATATCTTCCAGGGCCCGGGACCGTTTTTTAATCGGTGTCCGCTCTTTTCCTTTCATTTCGGCCCGGCTGGAATCTGTCCTTCTGGTGCCTGACCTTATCTTCACTTTGCTTCTCCACTACGGGTGCAGAAATGGGTTGAAACGATAAACGGATTTAATCAGCGACCCTGCGGCAAAACAACAACAGTCGCCATTTTGTTAAGATTAGCGACAAGTCCCGCCCATCCGTTTTGATTAGCTGAAAAGTGGGCAGAAACCTTTAAAGCGCCTGTCAATCACTTACCCAGCCCTAATACAGCTTTGCCTGCATTTGCTGCATTTTGAAAACAATTAAAGGAGGATATTGGAACAAACTCAACTCTTATTATTTACATTCTTTGACTTAAAGTATTACATCACGATAATGTGGCGTTTATTTCATATTTGCTGTCAACGTCTTTCAGTTTTATATGATTTATATAGAGTTGCTTATCTTTAAAAAGTTTATGAGTAAGTAAAAGTTAGAGATTAATGTAATTCGACTTAACCTACCAGACCTAAGATGCAGAGATTATTACTTAGTATATTACCTTTATTGTTGCTATTTGCTTTATAAAACAACAATAGACATTAGTTCAATTCTCCATTAAAAATAATAAAACTTAAATACAATAACATTTTATTACTACCGTTTTTATGTGTCTGAAATACTTGAATTACTCAAATTTAATAGACAAGTGTAACGAATGCTATATGTGATGGACTGACTGTGCCACTATGGTAAATCATTTCCAAAATCTTAATACTTTCCCTTTCTGGCTTTACTGAGCCCTTACTGCTATAGAATATGTTTTTTCCCCTGTTTTTTTTTTTATGTTTTTTTTTCTTGTACTTTTTTTGTGAAAAGCTTTTTGTGTTTTTTTTTACTGAAAATAAACCTGCCTTGTATGGTGCACTGTTGATTAATTAGTTATTTGGAACGTATCTTTTTTCCCACAATTTTTAACTCTAAAAACTGTGCAAATGTTAAAGCAAACACTGCTAGTAGTGACAGTCTCCGTTATTTACTGTATGCTTACTGACTTCCGAAGGGAAAAGGAGCCTCAGCAGATTGACAGCAGAACTGTGACTCTTGTGTATAAACAAGGGACCTCACATGAACTGTGCACTTATGGAAGTACCTCCAGCCATTTCACAATGTTAGTATTTATTTCTTTGCATTCTTTCATAACAGTCTGTTTGATTATAGTTAATAAACAGTTGTTTGCTAAAACTGATGCACACATTGATTGTATTTTTTCACACCACTCCCACCCCCTCCTTGATTGCTTTAGACTAGCCTTTGTGTATAAAATCCCCCATGTGTTCTTTGTGATCAGGTCAATTTGTGTCCATAACCCTTATTAGAGAGGGGTTGTCTATTTTCTAGATTTGTTGATGTATCGGTTTATCTATTAACTTTTGTTAACTATGCTTTGCAAAAAAATAAAGGTTCCATATTAGGCAAAAATTCACATTATAAATATTTTGTAACAGTCACATGTGTTCTGAGGCCTGTGTATGAGGTTCACATATTTAAAAAAAAAGCCTTTCACCTGTATAATTGCCTTTCTCTAACTAGCTAATATGCTCAAAATGACATTCCCCTTATGACATCATAAAGGGAATGGTTTAGCAGCCCATCGGTTAAGCTATGGCCTTCATCTAATCTATTATTCCACTCTTCTAGGCTAAGTTTACAGGCTCTGACTAGTTGTCATGATTGCGGCTTGTGTGGAAGCAGCCTTCCGGAGGTCGGGCGAAGAAAGCCTAAACAGCTTGTCCAGAGGAAGGCTGAATATGGACATTTTTGGTACATGCTGTCTGTCTATTCTGAGAGAAGTTTTCCTGCACAAACGGGAAAAACATGCTCTGGAAGGATTATTGTGGGTATCATTTTTGGTTTTAAATGTAGAATAATATTCATCCTTTAAACAAAGAATATTTTTATTCCTTGTGAAAAGAATTGTGGAGAAAAACATTGACTAAAGGGTGCAAAGACAATTTGAATACATGATTTCACTACAATTCGTCGACTGTAAAAACTACTCCTAGAAGTACATTTTCTTCCAAAAAGTTACTTGAGTAAATGGAACTAATAAAAAACTCGGCAAATACCACTAACTCATTAAGATGTATTTTGTGTGGAATCATCTGCATGTTATCCATTTGTTCACTTGCATTTGCTAATTTTTATTCAACAGAAGAAAAAGAAACAGTATTTAAATGGCTGGTTTTATTAGGGTATGATATGAAGTGCTATTTACTGGCCCGGCCTGAGTTGGCAGCCTGTTTTGCAGCTTGAAGCACAAGAACAAGTTGTCTTCATAACATAAAAAAAACTTCTAAGTTTCATTGTTATGTTTTCAGAGTTTATGCACACCCTAATGATTGATTGTGACAAACAAAATACTTTATTTATATGATGTGAGATTTTGTTTTCTGTGAATACATATGTTCCCACTTCTGATCTAAAATTCAATTTTACTGTCATTTAAAATTAGCTTTTCAAATAGAAATACCGTAACTATATTTTCTATATCTATGTTTTTTTTTTCTATGACTTAAAACACGTTAAACTCCAAATAAGATGTCACCAAACACAAAATTATTGGAATTCAGTTTTTTATGTTTAAGAAGGAAAATTAAGCCATTTCCTTAATATTTGAACCGAGAAATACAGTGTAGATCATTTTATATTGAGAAAGTCTACATAAAATGATTAGAATGAGCCATTTATCCCAACTATTATTTCTGTAATGAATAATATAAAGCCAATATAATTTTCCAACAAATAATGATCTGAATCAGTTCAGTTTCCTAGTTGGGTCACTATAGCTTTAAGAGATGTTGGTTTAAAGTATATCCCCCCATAAAATTGAACTAGATTATAATAGGACAAAGAAATGCTAAATAGAACCTCAAGAAGGCATGGTGTGCTTTTGTGCAACAATTAAACAGTTAATTACTGCAGAGGATACAAATAATGAAACAAATTTTCCTTTGAATAAATAGGAGAGTCTTTTCATAGAGGTTTTGTTGAATGCTTAACATGCTGAACTGATACCACATGGTGGCAGCATTTCAATATTATCTTTAAGACTGGTCATTATACATAATACAGACACCGTTTTTTTAGATATATATATATATATATATATACTCAAATTTGGAAACAATTATCCATTCAAAGGAAAAAAATATAACTATATTATTTGTTGGGCCACACAGTAGCTAACTTTTTTTTATAAGAAAGTGGGGAATCACTTTTGCCACAGTTCTGTGGGGCCTCACTTTTGCCACAGTTCTCTTAACTTAAAGCTTTGTTGTGTTTATCTTTACTTTTTGTAACCTTGTGTATTTATACAGACATGTTGTTCTGAATTCTTTATTAGTATCAATTGACAAGTTTAGATGAATTGCTATTTTCATGCAGTCATTTTCCTGACTTCTTAAAGCATAACACAGACCCTCTATACTGGAGAAAAAAGGTCTCTTGTTTTTCTTTTTTTTTTTTTTTTGTCCAGCGAACCTAAACTTTTAGACATGTCACACTATTTCCAACAGTGCAGGAATCCACAGATTATGAATTTCTGATCAAATTGAAAAAATAAAATGTAGGTCAAATTACAAGCTTAACTTTTGATACCTTAAATTTCATGGGGAAATCTTTAAATGGGGTATTTTATTAATCCCTTTCTACTTTAATCAGAAAATAATACATGTATATGTATAACTAAATAATACATTTATAATACATTCCCATATAATACCAAATGTTTTCAGAGGTCATGTATTTATCAAATAGCTACCCTGCCCACCTACCTGCACTCACTAATGCAATTTCTTTGTGCTCTTAAGAGCTGCAGGGCTCAAAGGTTCAGGTGTGGAAATCTGTCGAGATACCAGCTCCTTGGGCAAATTTTACAATTATGGAAGAGAGGCCAGAAGAAAGCAATTACTGGAAAAAAAAAATCTTATGAAGTGTTTTTTTGTTTTTGTTTTTTAGTTAGCAGGGACCCACATAAAAAAGAGGGAAAAGATGTTGAAGAGGGTGCTCGCAATACATGATACGAAAATATTTGAGGTGAAATGGAAAGCAGTATCTGTAGCAAAAGCTAATATTGAATATTTATAACTAAATACACATTCCATGGAGAGACCATGGTGATGGCATCATCATGCCGAAGTGAGGATTTTCTTCAACAGGAACATGGAAGATGGAACGAGGTAACAGCATGATGGATGGAGACAAATAAAGTGCACTATTAAAAGAAATAATGCAAACGTTTTACAGTTAATAAAGGAGAAGAGGGTGTAATGAAAGTTCAGCTTTCAGCAATCTTTAGGATATAAGTTAAAATGAATTGAAGGTTTAAAATGTGTACGGCTTTCTAAAAGTTTAGACATACCATGAAAGACTTACAGCTGCCATTGCTGTGAAATACAGTATAATGTAGTTCTATAGTGTGTCAACTCAGAGGGCTAAAATGTTTATCTTACTTTAAGAATTTTTAATTGTAAAAACGCTTTATAGCCAAATATGTTTTTCCTTCGTATTATTATATACCAAATAGGTGTTACTTTGTATATGAATGTGTTGTTTTAGTTCAACAAAAAGTAAAAAAAAAGGTAAAGAAGTATGAGCACATTTGCAAGGCATCTGAAGAAACTCAGCTAAAAGAGTAAAGGTCATACTTAACCTCTATACTTGCAGTCTTTACTCATTAAATATTAGCTATCTTACATCGTAAGGCTATTGAGACACCATTTCTTTAAAAGAGCTTAAGCAGTTTTTTTCTTTTCATACTTTATTCAGAAATCTTATTTTTTGCTGTCTTTTTCGTATAAAAAAAAGAATAACAAAACAGCAAAAAAAAAAAAAAAAAAAAAAAAAAAAAAAAAAAAAAAAAAAAAAAAAAAAAACACTATTCCCTATTTTTTCATCCTTCTAAAATATTTTCCCCTCTGTGGTCCCTTCTCCTACCTGATATCTCATGTTATTTTCTCCGCTTAATCTGGGACATAGTCACAGAGCCCTAAATAACTGTAAGTTAGCAGCCGTCTTCCAGGGCCTGGCTGTAATTTGAAACTGTTGGTGTGCAAACTGCTTCTGATGTCTTTGTGCATTTTTCTATTAGAACCACATGTTTTATAGCTCCAGCAAGGCCTTGCTAAGAGTGATGGAATATCGGATAATCTGCCCTGAGCGTTCCTGTCACAGTGAGGCGGGCAAAGAATAAAGCCAGTATTCCTCCTAAAACCATGTCCATTCCTGGGAAGACTTTAGTCCAACAGTGAAACTTTTTTTTTTTTCATCCCCAGCATAGTTTGTGCTCTCAGTCCTCAAACAGACTGACATGTTTGCCAATCTGACACGAATATGCTGGTATTTAGTAATTTGCTCCACATGGGATGGTACAATACAAACCATTGTTTACTTGAGAATAAAGTGAAAAGTTTGGGGTAAACTCCAAAAAGGAGATATTGTAAGGCAACAAATGTCACATGAGATGGACTATTTTTTTCCTCTAAAAGCCCAGAAAGCAAAGAAGTGAATGGTCTGGTGGCAGGAAAAGTATGTACCAAAGTAAACTTTCTCCATCAAACTCTAGGTTAGATTGCTACAGTAATCCATTATGTGAAAAACAAATGACAAATAGCTGCTTCAGTCCCTGAGCAACCATAGGCAAGGACTTGTTAGAATATCGATGGTCTTTTGCTTTTGTTATGGTCTAATAGACTAAGACATCATATGCATTGGTTTAATCTCTTTGCAGGTTTCCTGCACAGTAGAAATCCCTGTGTTTTTGATAAACACATGTAAGGCTTTTCTGCCTCACAAACACATTTTATTTAAACAAAAGCAACACCCAGAGCAATCTTGAAGCAGAACTTGATCCAGCGGATTCCTTTTTTCTCCCGTCTGAAGCCAAAACTTGTATCCTGGCCGACAGCGTATATATAAATGGAAACTTTATTACTGATCAGCATTGATTAATATCATCATTACAGTTTCCACATGTTTAAATAATGTGCTCCTCTTTGGTTTTAGTAATAAAAAAGCTTAAGTTGGTAACAAAACAGTCATCAGTTTTTTTTTATAAACTTCCATCACTTTTCCACAGGTAGTCTGGGAAAGCTGCCCAACATTAAAAGCAACTGCATATAAGTGAAACGCAGATGGTGTGTGTTTCTGGTACTATGTATGTTTTGGCTCAGTCAGTATATTTTAGTGGGATCATTGGTGGTCATGTGGGCCAGGAGATAATGCTGCCCGGCTCTTTGGCTTTCATACGCAGCGCCACCAAACCAGTTGGTTTGTAGTCACCTTCTGGCCCCTCAATAGAAGGTGGCGCAAGGCTTCCGGGGAAGCTGTGGAGGGAGTAAAGGCTGTTGATGCTGTGATGATGCGGTGTGTGGTGGTGGTGTGGGTGGCTTGGGGAGGTGGGCATGCTCATGAAGCCCTGCAGGTTGCTGTGGGGGTGAGAATATGGACCCATGCAAGATGATGAGATGGATTCAGCTCCTAGGACACAGGCTGCACCTGAAGTGCCTCCACCTGAAGCAGCTGCCGGCCACAGGTTGCCTTGCATCTAGGTGAGAACAGATTTAGGTCAGGAAACTTGATGGGGAGTAATATTCATATTTGAACAGCTTGTCAGACTTGCAATAACCCACCTGGTATGCTTCGTGACGAGGAAGAAGAGAAATATCATAAGAAGCTGCAAAGTGGTTTCGGACTTCCTGGATCTTCCCATAGCGTTCCCGTTTCCTCCATTTGGCTCTACGGTTCTGGAACCACACCTGTGAAAACAAAAAACAAAAAAAGAAACAAAAATGTCTTGAAAAAAAGCATTTATACTTATTGAACATGCCGTCAGGTTAGAACCACCAACTTAAATTTATTTTATTAGATATTTTATGAAATAGACCAGCACTGCATGTAGCAATTTTTATTTTGGGCCCCTAGTAAACACTTTGTTAGACCACCTGTTGCTTTATCTACGCCCGTGTTTATTGGCATATGTGTCAGCCAGTGTTGTAGATCAGATTCAGATAAGCTTCCTTATAGTTATTGGAAAACCATTCAGCTTCATTCAGAGCAATAAGGATATCTGTTAGCACAAATTTTTCATGTCTTGCTCAAGATCTACATTAGATTTACCTTTGGGTCATGAAGGTGTTTTGGTAAAACCTAGTTGTAGCCCGGTTGTATTGAGTATCTGTTCACTGGATGATGAACCTCTGCTCCAGTTCTTTCCGTCCTTCAGAATTTTTTTCCCAATATTACCCTGTATATCTCCATCCTGTTATCAACTAAGTTAGTTTTCCGGTACAATGAATTTTAATTTTGCATTTAACTATCTCTTCCAATAAAATGTGAAAATTTTATCTGTCTTCACAGTAGAAAAAAAATCCAACAGCATGATGATGCCACCACCATGTCTCATGAAGTGGTTTTCTGCCATATGTTGCTCTTTGCATACGGCTCAAACTGTGTTTTTTTTTCTTTGATTTAAACATTAGATTTATGGAGCTCACAAATAATAGTTGTCCTGTTTTCCACCTGAACAGCAAATTCCTACAGTTCCTCCATAGTTCCCACATATCCTTTGATAACATTCTCCTTATCCGATTAGTTTAGGTGTATGGATATGCTGTTGTTTTAAATTGTTAGAATAATTATCATTGATTATGTGTGAGTTTATTACATCTTGGTATTGGCTGCCTGTTGCGTATCAGAACTCATGTTTTCCACAATAGTTTATCTGGTTAGGACTGTTCCTCTGTCCGGATATACAGTTATAATCTTCATTCTCTACGTGGCAAATATTTGAGAATGGAATGAGAGCGGTGTCCTTCAGCTAAGAACAAAGTGGAATATTTCGATAAGTCTAGGGCCATGATGTCTACTAATCTGCTAACATGTATTACGGTATGTAAAATGTGATGATGTGGCAGACTGGAGATGCATAAAATGCCTTTTTAACTGTTAATTGGGGCCACTTCCTGAGAGGTGAGCCCAGAGGTGAGCAGCAGTAAGATTACAATTTATATCAAAATCTGTTGTCATGTCTCCTGGTTATTTAATAAATATAAGTTATGAAGTGTTATTTAAAGAGTTTGTCCCGAGTGATCTCTTTTAAGAAAAAGGAACCAGAGAGATAGAGCTTCAAGGTGCAGACACAGAGACATCTTTAACAAAGGTTGGCTCAATTTACAAGTGAGACATCTACAAAAGCCATTTGGTTACAGCGATGCTGTCAAAAGTACAAGAGTAAATGGGGCCAGATGTATATTCCTGCTCCTTTCTTCATTCAGAAATAATTTACAAACAAAATGAAAAGACATGCATTTAAATTTGGATTACGATTAACGTTTAAAATGTGATGCACACACCTGAACCCGTGCTTCAGTGAGCTCCGTCCTCAGAGCCAGCTGCTCTCGGGCATACACATCAGGATAGTGTGTCTTCTGAAACACCTTTTCCAGCTCCTCCAGCTGAAAAGTACTGAAGGTGGTGCGATTGCGCCGCTTCTTGCTTTTTCCTGATAAGTCTATGGAGTCAGCGATGGAGTCGCCCTGTATGCTGACACTCTGCTCCTTCAGTTTGCTGCAGCACTCTGGACCGATCCCAGGATAGATCATTGCTTTTAGAGCTCCTTTCTCTCTGGCTGAGGAACACACAGAGGAGAGGCAGAGTCATTAAAGTTGATTTTCAGAGTATAACTGGATTTTCTGTTGGATACCAAAAACGACTTTCATTAAATTTAATGAGTTTCCTTCAGGATTATAACTAAAGTGGGACTGAATGTTAGCATTTAAATGTTTCATTCAGCCCTCACTGAACATTTTGTTCTGATGAACGTTTTAAAGCCAACATGTCTTGTTAAATGTTAAAGCCAACAAGTGTAAAGATTATTTCAATGATCATGATTAGATTTATTATTGCTGAGTTGGAAAACATTAATTAATGATTTCAAACCTTTAGACCTAGAGTCAATAAATCTTAATAAAATGTTCTTTTACTCTTAAAACTTAATTAAAACATTTAAAAAACTTAAAATCAAACCAAAAAATAATTTAAAACAGATTCCTAGTGTAGATTACATCAAGCCAATGTTTGTTTCTCACTTTGACACAAACTAGACAAAGTTATTTGTGATTTCATTTGACCAGAGCAAACAGACCTTAGACAGTTAATACCCCACAGGCTTGAATTAAATTAAAGAGAAATATCAGACTTGAAGGTGAGGAGAAAAAAAATAATAAAGTGTTTATGTTTCCACAATAAACTATGTGTAAGAAATGCGAAAACTTAATTCTGCTTCCTGTTGTCAGAGCAAGAAAAGGGCAGCTTCCCTCCCACAGTGTTTGGATGTTGTTGTCTGTTTTTATAATGTTTTAACCTCTCGATCCAGCACTCAACTCTATCCATCTGCCCCCATCCACTCTCTACATTACTGTTCTTCTGGCCTGACAGAAAATACTCCATGCTGCAACATTCATTTCCTTATGTCCATTACATCCAACCTTATGCCACAAACTGAAAACGTTCTCAGGAACAAACAAAGGCCGCAGGGTATTGAGCAGCTTTTAGCCTGTCAACCACTCACATCCGATTGGTCTGCATGGGTCAAACTGAAGATCTATATCTCAGGATATATGCAACGGAGAGGGAATATCTCCAAAAGCGTATCTGTCTAAAGGATTTAATGTGATCCATCAAAACTGTGAATTTCTCCATTTTCACTCACTGGGGAACTAGTCTGATTTTTTTCGTCTTGGTTTTACAATTTTAAGATTATCTGAGGAGCTATAGTAAATAAAGTCTAACTTTTAGGGATGTTAAGATTAGGAGTTAAGATAAGGAGTTTTTGAAAACTGGAAACTAATTCAGTTATATTTTAGAAATTTTGATGCAAATGTACATTTCTGAGTACATTTTGCATTAAATCTGATACAGTGTCAAATGTGCAAATATTAACATTCCAACTTGTTTTGATTGTCTATCAATGAAATCTAAAATAATTGAACATTTTTCTAATCCAAAAATAAAAAAATGATGCAACAAATTAAATAAATTAATTCATTAATAAATGCTTATTCTAATTAAATGAAAACAAATCAGCCATTGTAGGAATAGATGTAAAATAATGGAGAAATGTGTTTTTTTCGTCATATTAATTTGGAAAATGGCTAAATAAGGAAAGAAAAACATCACACAAACTAAACCAAAACGGCAGTTAAAAACAAATAATATAAATTATTGTGATTTCTACTTCTTTTTTTTTCCTTAATAACCATTTAGCTAATAATTTGGAAAATAGTAACGAAAATAGAAATTTATTTTAATTTCTTCAGTGTCTGAGAGTTCTTAAATAAAAATAAAACACACAACATTCTCAGCAAACTAATAGGAAATCACCACACAACATGCAAATAAATGGTTATATTAAAAAAAACAAAAACAAAAAAACAGCCTTAACATGAAAAAAAAAAGTTTTGGTTAAACATCTGATACTTAAAGATAGAGCTGTTTGGGGGAAAAGAATAAAAGTCAAATGCTCCAATGTTTATTATTTAATGAAAGAAGCAATGACTTGGAGACGGGAGGCAAATGTCCAATGAAGCGAATCCAAACAGGAGCATGCATTTGAACAACCTTCTTCTTCTTTTTTATTAATCAAGAGTTAAATAAATATTTTTGGAAGCCGCGCAAAAATGAAGCCACCCACCCAAACAGAATCTAACAGTAAATTTCACAGTGCATGTCCAAAATGAAATCTGCACAAACTGTTTGTTGTTTTAAGCTTGAGCCTAAATAAAACCTCACTATATCATATAATCCAGATTGTATCTCCTTTTATTTAATCCGTTGCTGTGCAGAATAAAAAGGAATTACCCGCAGCAATAAACAAAGCATATTTCCTAAACTCTGGTGTAAAATAGCCATTTGCGCCAATATCTCAATTTTATGCTCTTGAGCGCAGGACTGTGGTTTATTTGGATTTCTAAAAACAAAGGGTTGTTCTGGAAATCATTCATAAATTAGAAATATTTAAATTCAAAACATAAATCAGATTTTAATCGAAAATGATAGACTACTTTAAAGCTATTTATATCCCGAAACGTAGATTTATTTAAGAAATTTTGTGGTCTAATTTTAATTTGATCCAATATATGTCAATTTTATCCACTTTCCAAACTTCCAAAGCAGCATCATGAAGTCCAAAAGCGTCCCGAGAAAACTCGCTTAAAGCTTGCAGCATTGCACTGGTTAATATAGGCCTAATCCGGTGCCACGTTTCATATTCTTACATTTTATATACACGTTTAATTTGTCCCTGCATCTGTTTCTTACTCACCTTCCGAACTGCTTTCATAAAACACCGCTTTGTCGCTTATTGCCGCTTTGTGATCCGGGTTCAAACCGTCCAGGAACTTAAGTTTCGGCGCAGAGCCGGGCGCAGAGCCGTGCGTAAAATCCGCACCCGCGACATCACCAAACCTGCCCATGGCGGCATACAGTTCCCCGCACAGGCCGTGGCGGTGAGTTAGAGACGCAGCAGGAGGCGGGGGAAGGATATGAGAGGGTTTCTGCAGCCCATTGCAGGGGAGAAAAGAGCCGGGTCCCCCGCCACCACCACCACCTTGCTCCAGGCCCGGAGAGTTTGTCGGTGTCCTTCCAGCGCTCTGCGCGGAGAAAGGCAAGCAGCTCTCCGTCTCCATGGTTCTGATCCAGCAGACAGTTAAGACAACAGCGACTAGGCGCTGTCAGCATGGGCAGTGTGAATGATTTTCACTTTTTTTCTCTGTGTTCATGTCAAGTGGGTGGGATTTAACAGATCAGAAACAAAGACCCGTGAAACGGGGACTGATGGGTTGGTGCGTGAGAGAAGTTAGTGTGAGTAGGTGTGTGTGTGTACCTGCAGCAGAACACAGGTGTAACTTTATGAAGGACAGGTGTGGACATGTCCCCACCAATAATGGCCTGGTGTGGACATGTCCCCACCAATAATCTCCGCTCTTCCCCGCTTAT